CTGCCTCCCCTCGGCGGTAAGCAAGACCCCCCCTCACCACAGGGCTGCCCTCTGCAGGCAGGGTGCGGGCAGCCGGGGACTGGGGGCTGTGTCCCCCCCCTACTCCACGTCCTCCATCCCGGCAGATCCCTGCTACCGCCCGCTGGGCATCGCCTCCCTGCCGGACAGCAGCTTTGCCGCCTCCTCGGAGCAGGCAGGGACCCCTGCCCATGCTGCCCGCCTCCACGGCGGTGACCCTGGGCAGGAGCTGCGGGGCTGGGCCCCCCTGGATGATGCCTACCCGGTGCTGCTCTCCGAGCCCCCCTTCCTGCAACTGGACCTGCTGGAGCCCACCAACATCACCGGTGGGTGCCCGTCCGGACCCCCGGGCATTGCCGGCGGCGGCGGTGTGGGTGGCGGTGCCGACACGTTGCTGCGCTGTCCCCTGGCAGGGGTGGTGGTGCAGGGAGCCGGCTCCTCCGACGCCTTCGTCACCGCTTTCCTGCTGCGGTTCAGCGCTGACGGCACCCGCTGGCACCGCTACCGCGAGGTCACCACCGACGGCCAGCCTGAGGCCAAGGTGCTGCCTGCGCCGGGGTGCGACCGCGACCGCGGGCGGGCATGGGGGGAGGCACGCGGCGAGCACCGGCTGCACGTGGAGCCATGGTTGCACGCACGGGGCCACGCACGTGGGTGCTCGTGCGCAGGCGTGCGCACCCCCCTGCCTGTCCCTGCCTGCACACCCCTGCCTGTGTCCCCCCTCCCTGTCCCCCCCCCTTCAGCTCTTCCAGGGTAACTGGGATGCCGGCACACCAGCGGTGCGGCTGCTGGGCCGCATGGTGCAGGCGCGGCACGTCCGCATCCTCCCCCAAGACTTCCACAACCGCATTGTCCTGCGCGCCGAGCTGCTGGGCTGCCCCCCAGGTATGGGAGGGGCGAGGGGGGACACGCCTTCATCCCCCACCATGGGACCCCTTCTCCTGCCCACCTCTGCCTTCTCCCCAAAGTGCCCCCTGCCCGGCTCGGGGCTGTGATGGTGCCAGTGATGCCGGTGCCGGTGCCAGTGACGATGCCAGTGGTGCCAGTGACTATGCTGGTGACGCCAAGCCAGCACCCCTGCGGCGTGGGGGAGTTCCGGTGTGGGAACGGGGGCTGCGTCCCCGGGGGTCCCCACGGTGCCCTGTGCGATGGCGTCGATGACTGCGGGGACCTCTCGGACGAGCTGCCCTGCGGTGAGCGGGGTCAGGGGCCTGGTGCCGCGGTGGGGGCAGCCAGCACCGCGGGGGGCCCGGGGCTGTGGCATGCTGCCCTTGACGATGACACTGCCCACCCCGTGCAGGGCTGGCCCCCCCGGTGACCACCCCAGTGCCCGGGCTGTGCCCGCCGTCCCACTTCACCTGCCCGGGCTCTGGCGGCTGCCTCCCAGCATCCCAGAGGTGCGACGGCATCTCCGGCTGCCCCGACGGTGCCGATGAGGCCGGCTGCGAGACCCCCGGCGCTGGCAGGTACCGGTGCTGGGACAGTGGTGGTCCCGCGGGAGCTGGGGGGGGTCGGGGTGGGCGACCCCTAATTGCCGCCTCTACTTCTTCCAGCCCCACGATGCCCATGGCAGCCGGCGTCCTGGTGCCGACCACCCAGCCGCCATCGGTGCCCCTGGCCACGGTGAGCCCTGGGGGGGCTGGGGGAGGGCAGTGAGGGGGTCTGGGGGACAGCAGTGGGTGATACCTGTCTGTCCCCATGCAGGTGTCCCCCGGGACGGGCACCCGGCTGACCCCCGAAGGTGCCAAGCCCACCCCCCCAGGTACCTGCCGTGGGGCAGAGCAGGGTGGGGGGCAGGACC